GTAAAGTTGCTTTAAAACCTTCAAACACTGTTTCAAACAAAATTAAAGTTTTCATCCAGATCTATCCCTAATCTATTCATTTTAATCAGACTCACACCAATAAACAAACCCATAAGAAAGATGGCGTCTATTGGCCCATATATCACCTCCTTGAGAGTGTACCTAGAACAATTGCCCATGGACAACGACCACTTCGACTCTCTGCCAAAGTCTCTCCTTCTAGTCTTCATAAAGATTAGCGACGGCAGGCCCCTTTCCTTCTCCAATGTTACCATTTGAGAGCGAGATAAGGCTGGAGGTCGGGAGGGGGGGAGGGTTGTCGTCGTGGTTTTTGGGGGGTGGGTATTAGGTGGCTCCCTATAATTTATTGATACTTTGTTTTATCTATATTTTAAACTTTTAATTAATGCTATTTATCTTATATATATAAATATAGTATTTATGACTCCCTAATCTGGGGAGTATGATTGAAGTTCAAATTTTATAGAGAGTTCCTCAAATGAGAGCATTTTTGCTCCCCACTTTAACCAAGGTGTATGCTCACCACATTTCTCAATACTTAACATGTGTCCATAACCATAACCATGGTTACATAAATCAAACTAAAAAGTTAACCATAGTTAGGTGGCTCCCTATAATTCATGTATTAAAAAAGGTGGTGAATGATGGACATATTTTATATTATATATTTAACCCTATTCTTAGTATATTTTGGTTAATATTTTGGAAGAATTTTGATACTTTGAATTATATTTCCAATATAGGACTTTCGACTTCCTCCGGAGCAAAACATAATCAAATGGATGAATTTTGGAGTAATTCCAGTTGGAGGACGTTCGTGAGTCACTTAGCTTGATCGTATCAAAATTTCAGATTTTTCTACCAAGCGGTTATTCTCTGGCAATAAAATAAAGGAGCAGTGTGCGGTGCTGGAATAGTGACGTGTTGGGCTTTTATTGCGTTTTGGAGCCCAAGATGACCTCAAATGGGTTCGTGGCCTTCTGGAGAAGTGTTCAGAACGTTTTTATCTTTAAAACAAGCTATCTTGGGCCTGATTTGGAGGAGATTTGAGCCCAAAACGTGGCTGGACAGATTGTTGACAGATTCTCCTAGTCCAATTTGGACTTTATTTCCTAGTATTATTTTATTTTAACCTAGTTTCCTTGTGGAGATTGGGGAGCTGAGTTTTAGGAGGTATATAAGTTATGTTTCAGATATTTTTAGGANNTGATTGCATGCATACTTTGAATTGTTAATCACTGTTTTAAACTATCTAATTGTCTTAATGCTTGATCACCATTAGGATCTTTAGAAAAGTAATTGGATGCAATTTTGGTCGGAAGGTTCCCTGAAATTGACGCTGGCTTCTTGTGGTTAATAATTGTAATTTCACTTAAGATGAACACCACGTCTTAAGGGTTGCATGGTTTTTCAAAGGGTTTTCACAAAGCTTAATGAGTCTTGCATGTTTATATTGATCTGAACATCACAGACGGATTGCATGTTAGATATACGTTTTCGCTTGAACATCACAAGGAAAATATGCATTAGGAAAACCTAACCTTCAAAGCATATATGTGGAACTTCATAAGTAACTGATAAAATTGCATAGGATTGTAACGGCGACGGCTAAACCCTAGTTTCTCTCTATATTGTTAATTTTAAAAATATTTTTATTATCTGCTATTATTACCTCCCAACTTTCAGATTTCTTTTATTGTCAAGTTAATCTTTTCAAATTCATAAATTTCACATCTTTGATAAAAGCTATTTAGTTATTAATTAAGAGTTATTTTAATTACAAATTAGTCAAACAATCTTTGGGGACAACGACCTTGCATGAGCATCTATACTACAATATCCTTGTATTCTTGCAAGTATTTTAAGTGATTTTAACCCTGTTTGCGCAGGTACTAAAAATCCTATCAGTGAACATATACCTTAAGTTAAAGTGGTGAGCAAAAAGATAATTGAAGACAGACTGTGAGCTCCATATTTTAAGTGATTACGACTACACTTTGTGTGTGACACTGTGTGATGATGATTACTCCATAGTTTGAGTCATTCTTGTGTGATTGCTTATAGTTGGAGTCTATTTGTATCTTCTTTATTGATTTTTCATTTAATGTGATATATAGGGATTTATTGGAGGCCCTCATTCATTTATGTACCAAGTACAACTTCATGTATGCTTCCTTAATTATGTGCAATGAATTTTCTGTATTTAACAATCATGTCAACCTGATGTCCATGTTAATAATCAAAGAAAAGTAGAGAAAAACTATGGAGAAAAATAAACATTTCAATTTATTTCTCAATTCTATGTAATATAATAAAGCTAACTTTGTATTTATATAAAAAGTAAAAGCTTAGCTGACTCACCATCTTTCTAATAGTTTTCTAACAACTATATTAGCTGGCATGACTTAAGCTTGGCATAGTTTACAGACTAAGTAGCAACTACTAATCCTACTTAAGCTAACATAACTTCTATTAGTCCCAACATATTGGAAGGCATGATAAAATTCAAGGCCAATAATCAAGAGGAGTTATGTCATTAATTGTGTGAGTCTAGCCCAACTTTTCATGTCGTATGGGGTAAGACCCACTAAAACTAATAACCCACATCACCACAATTAACCCTAAGCCCAAACAAAGCTCACATACCCAACATAACCGAAACCTTAAAGCAACCCATACGCCTAAGTGAACCCTACCACCACCATCTGAATAAGCAACATCACGACCACACCCACCATTGCATTTGTAATAGATTTGGGAAAAACATGGCTTCCAACAATCTACCTACGTATAAGAGCAAACAAATAAACGAAAACAACTACCTTGACAAAAAAAAATAATTGGGTGATTTGAAGTAAACTCTGTCAAAGACGATGTAGACCCAAATTTAGAGAACATGAGCAGTATTAGAAAGTGTGTTTTGGGAGAAGAATTTGTTTAAGAACGCCTAAAAGTGGTGATGGGGAACTTCAATCTGAGCATTGCTTATAAGAAACACTGCAATGGGCCTTTTATTCAAAAAGCCCTAGTGGACTTATTCACTAACTCAAAAGAAAAAAATGAGGAGAGAGGAGGGGATGAGGGGCAATAACACTTCTTCCTCCCCACCCTCTGTTGAGTTTTAGCGGTTAGGGTTTTTTCCTCTCCTTTCGAGTGAGAAAGGTGTATGGATGAATTGGGAGATTATATTGTTGTTTGAGCAAAACTTTTCCTTTATTTTTGGGTTAATTACATTTTTTGTTATTGGGGTTTGGCTCGAAATCAAATTTGGTCACCGTGATTTTAATTTTCCTAATTTCGTCACCATACTTGCAATCGTTAACAAATCAAGTCCAATTTCTTAAATCTGTCAATTTGAAGGCATATCCTAGGTTCATTGAGGGGCTTTATTATCAACACAATAATACTTTAAAACAAAAACAAAAACACAAAACAGAAAAAGAAAAAAAAAGAAAAAAAAGAAAAGAGAAAAGAACCCAACAATCATCCCCACATAGCTGCCCACTCTACCCCAGACTGACAGGAACCACTTGTACCCTCCACCTCCTCCTCCTTTCGTCCTCTCTCTTGATTATATTAAAAAAAAACCCTGTAAAGTTGCTTCAAAACCTTCAAACACTGTTTCAAACAAAATTAAAGTTTTCATCCAGATCTATCCCTAATCTATTCATTTTAATCAGACCCACACCAATAAACAAACCAATAAGAAAGATGGTGCCGATTGGCCCATATATCACCTCCTTGAGAGTGTACCCAGAACCATTGCCCATGGACAACGACTACTTCGACTCTCTGCCAAAGTCTCTCCTCCTAGTCTTCATAAAGATTAGCGACGTCAAGTCCCTTTCCTTCTCCAATGTTACCATTTGAGAGAGAGATAAGACTGGATGTTAGGAGGAGGGTTGTCGTCGTGGGTATCGGGTGGCTCCCTATAATTTATTGATACTTTGTTTTATTTATATTTTAAACTTTTAATTAATGTTATTTATCTTATATATATATATATAGAAATGGACTAATTTTAAATTAAAAAATAAATATGGTATTTATGACTCCCTAATCTGGGGAGTATGATTGAAGTTCAAAGTTTATAGAGAGTTCCTCAAATGAGACCATTTTTGCTCCTCACTTTAATCCAAGGTGTATGCTTACCATCTTTCTCAATACTTAACACGTGTCCATAACCATAACCACGGTTACATAAATCAAAGTAAAAAAGTTAACCATGGTTAGGCCTATGGACACACAGGGGCAGACCCAATTAATGCCAACTATGGGCAGCTGCCCACACTTACCCAAAAACTTCAGCCATATAATCCCATTTAAATTCATTATTTTTAATTATTTTTAGGTCCTTCTCAAGTAAAGCCCCCACATAGCCCATTGAATTTTTTAAAGCCCCCAGATGAACGAAAGTCTGGGTCCGCCACCTTGGACATGTATCATGTATTAAAAAAGGTGATGAACATATACCTTAAGTTAAAGTGACGAGCAAAAACATTTCCCTCCTCAAAAATAGGGAACATGACATGATTGTAGATACCCACGTCTACTCGGGGCAGGTTAGTTAAGGTCGGCCTTTTGAAATCCAAATCAAGCTTCATCTTCATGGTAAAAGAATTTAAATAAGTCTGTAATTACCAATGACATTGCATAAGAGGCAAAGTTACTGACAGTTAAAAACCATTATATCACCCCATAAATTAAAAAACTAAATAGCTCAAGTAAGGGTGTCAAACACGGGTCCACCAAAAATTCCGTTGTGGACCAACTGTGTTTTCCCCAGCAGCACTCGACAAAATAATTCACACAATCATTAATGTGCTGGGTAGGAATAGCAAAGCAATGGGTTCAAGTAGAGGAAACTACATAATTAAATGCCAAATCCATTTGTAACCGCAACCGAGAATAAATTAGAAAATAATAAATGAATTTTAAGAAAAGAAAAAAAAGAGAGAAAAAGATGCCCAAAAAAATCTGTAATGAAAGGCACTACATGCGCAGTATGTCCTTCTGCCAGCTCAATACATCATCATTTCTTCTTTTCCTTGCTGTCCAAAATTCGCACCATCGTCTTCCTGTCTTTCTCTTCTCTGCTCTGTATCTCCCTCTGAAAAAAGAAAAAAAAAACTCACTCCCATTCTCTCCTTTCTCAAACTGCGAGCTCAATTCTCTGCTAAACAACTTCAACGAAGAAACCCAGAAAGGAAACAGAGCAGAAAGTAGAGAAGACCCAGAAAGACGACATGTCGTCTTCAGACGAGGAGGGGTCAGGGGAAGAGTACCTGTTTAAGATCGTGATAATTGGAGACTCAGCGGTCGGGAAATCGAACTTGCTGTCTCGCTATGCGCGCAACGAGTTCAATGCGCACTCCAAGGCCACAATTGGGGTGGAGTTTCAGACACAGAGCATGGAAATCGATGGCAAAGAGGTCAAGGCTCAGATTTGGGACACTGCTGGCCAAGAGCGCTTCAGGGCTGTCACCTCTGCCTACTACCGTGGCGCTGTTGGAGCTCTCATTGTCTATGATATCACTCGCAAGACCACTTTTGAGAGCGTTGGTCGCTGGCTCGATGAGCTCAAGAGTAAGTTGCTTGCTTACTTGGGACATTTGCTGTTTTTGCTTTTGATTTTGGTGATATGATTCTTAAGCTATGAAATGCTAAACTAGGGAGAATTTTGATAATTTTGGTGGTTGAGTTTGTGGGTTTGTGTTTGTTTTTTCTGTTTGTGGGTTTGGTGGCTTTTTGGGTTTGATTTGGGTGGATATGACTTTAGATCTAAGCTTATGATGATAAATTCTATGGTTGAAGACTTCATTTTGAAGAAAGCTTTATTTCTTTTTTGTTTTTGTTTTTGGGTGGTGGTGGTGTAGATTCTCTTCAACTTGAAAGAAGGTTCTGCTTATGTTGACTAGAATATGTATGCTTTCTTTTAAATAGGTTCCAGGAGCAAATGGTATAAATAATTATATGTTATTTGGCTGTAGAATCTAGGCCTTAGGTGCATCCATTGACTAGTTGAGAAAATCCAGATAATTGGATGGTTTTGGCCGTCTTATTGTATCTGATTTAGGGATTTGATAAAAATCAAGACACGTACACATGCACATCCACATTTAACACTTCGCGGTAGAGTGTATGTAGTACGGCATGGGAGCTTTTGTAAGGAGGTATAATATATTATGTGTAGGAACCTTTACATTTTTAAGGAGTTTTTGGTTGACGTTCTGCTCTAAGATGCGTGGATCAAGCTTCAAACCACTAAGGAGATGTTTGATAGATAAACGACTATTGGCTGATTATAGCATCAGAGATATGAGTATTACGGTGGTACATCTGAAAGTAATTGTTTTGACCATCTAAATTTATTTATGAAAGAGCATCAGCAAGTGTAAGGATGGCTCTTTTAGAACTCCTAATTGGGTTTTTTAGGCGGGTTTCAGGGATGTGCTTTCCTATCAGACCATCTAGCTAACCAAATGTCTTGTATGGTATTTAAATACCACATGAAGTTCTTATTAAAAAAGATACGACATTAAGTTTATGCCTCTGTTTGTTGATCTTGTTATATGTCTGAATTAGGCTAGCAACAACTTGTCATTTAATCCCCAGTGTCCCCTTATCTCCAAAAATTCAGTCAACCTTATTGTAAAGCTCCTTTTACGGTTTAGCATGGGTTCCATCTCTACCTTATTTCTTTTCTGAAAAATTCAAACTCTACAATTAATGTTAATTAAACCAACTTATTTCATTTTCCGGTTGTCAAATACAGTCTTTCTATTGTTTTGTGCTGGTGAACTGCTTGTCCATTGTTATTGTAATTGTTATGTTCTTAGTTTTTTTTTAAAACAAACAAACAAAAATACGATACTTTCAGTAGTGAAATACATTAGGTTTTTTGCGCCCACAATGGCACTCCTTTATTTTCAACCTTTTTTTTTTCCTTTTTTTTTTGGTCTGAATCATTTCTTTTTCTTATGAATATCAATTGAGTGTATTCATGGTTTCTTGTGTTAGCTACTCCTCTCCAACCACTCACGGGCTCACACCACCATTCTGTGCACTTTCTTTGCATAAGCTTTACCTTTAGGTCTTTTTTCTTGGTGATACATCTTCATGATGGTTATGATCAAGCCATTTCTTTTGGTAACATTATTAATTCCTTTTTGCCATGGTCACCTAGTTTCTTTGAGTTAGGATTGATCACCAAGTTGTTTTTTTGGTAGTTGTTAGGTGAATTTATTTTCTCTTCATTTAAACCCTGCATGGACCATCCCCTTGTGAAACAATTTATGAAAAGCATTAATCTAATCTAACTTAAGCACTTCTGAAATTTTTTGACAAACTAGTAACAATATAGGACTCCTCCCTATGACAAACTAGTACCATTCGCTTAATTTCCTGCTCCCCGAAAAGTTTTTCAAGCAGACTACTTCTCTATTTAGTGTACCAGTCCAGTCCATCCACCGCAAACTGCACCTCTTAATCTTTAGTATAATGCCTGTATACAATGCCTACCATCCCCACATCAACTCCCCCTCTCCTCCAACAAAACACAATCCTTTCCAGTTTTGATATATATTTTTTTTATTGATTTAGTGACCTCCACTCTTGTTTTATGCTCCAAGGTAACCTCTTTCAAGCCCATTTCCCTAACAAAATTGTCAGGGTTCATACTCTATATCATTCTCCTTTCTTCAACTTTTCTTTTTTAGTCAAATATATTAACACTAGCCCAACATGGACCTTACACATTTGAAAATCACCACTATCTCATCTCTCATCTGGAGGTATGATACTGTATAATGCCACATGTTGACTTAAATGTCTCACAACATGAACTGTAAATTTGGTCATTCAACAAGGGTTGTTATGCGACCTTGAATCTTAACCATACAAACCAACATGGTGTCAATCACCGTATATGAATAAATGAGTATTGAAGTATCTATTTTCTTTTGGATTATTCTGTATGGCTTGTCTGATCTACAGATGCAGCATTGCATGCTTTGTATAGCTTGGAAATCTCGATTGATCTTCAATCTTGAGATTTTTGTTCCACTGGTAGATAAAATTGTACCAAACCTGTGGATTCTAAAATCAAATATGAAGGAATCTCTGATGTCCAATAGAGAAATTAGAAAAAAAAATCTGGCATCACACCGAAGGTTTCTTGGAATTGGTCCAAGCCAAGCTGTGATTCATGCACCAGTTCTGTCAACAAGTCTGTTTTTTTAGTTATCCCCTTTTATAGGGTCATTAGTGCATGGATCTGGAAAGATCCATATTAGTACACTTAGGAACTCTAAAGACATATCCTAATACATTAATCATCTGACCTAGAGAGTAAGAAACAAGAAAGACCCTCTTTTATTATACTTTTGAACTTGGCCCCTGCATCAAGTTGTGATGAACCATTTTTAGGTATGATGTGAGATCTTTCTTCATTGGGAAATCAAATCATGAAATATGTGCATGAGATATGGTGTCTCATTAAATATGATGTGGTGGCATCCCGAAGTGGTGCCAGTTGGTCAGCTTATAAAGTTTCTTGTCGTCATACTCATACAACAAACCTAGGATTGGTTCTGCCCTAAACAGGAATTTAGGGTGTTTAGAGATATGTGAGGCCTTCTACTCACAGCATGGCACATAAAGCCAATGGGTCTCCAGGACCCAAATTTCTAGCAACAGTTCTATTGTAGTGAAAGCAATACTGTCTTATCAAGAAATACATACCTTGTGTAATATATTTGTACCTTGCTATTATTTTATGTTTGAATGATTTTGTAAACTGAGTTTTCTTGCCAGCTCTCTTTCATGGCCCTTTTCTTCAGTAAAGATAGCTTGGATTGTAATAACTGACTATGAATAATTTGTTTTACTGCATGTATTTACAGAATGTATCCTTGTTATTGTTTCAATATCCAGATTGCTCAACTCTTTTCTTATTGATGATTACTTTTTGGTTGCCATAATCTCCATTTCTTGTTTTATCACTAATTCTTTTATTATGCTCTTGGGGTTCAATGTGTTAATTATTTGAGCTTGATTAATCAATGCTGCAGCTCATTCGGATACAACTGTGGCAATGATGTTAGTGGGGAACAAATGTGATTTAGAGAATATTAGGGATGTCAGTGTTGAAGATGGTAAAAGCCTTGCTGAAGCAGAGGGGTTGTTCTTCATGGAGACATCTGCCCTGGACTCAACAAATGTTATAAAGGCATTTGAGCTTGTTATTCAAGAAATATATAACAATGTCAGCCGGAAGGTCTTGAACTCAGACACTTACAAAGCAGAATTATCTGTCAACAGGGTAAGCCTTGTTAATAACGGGGCAGATGGATCAAAGAAAAGTCAGGGCTACTTTTCTTGCTGTTCCGGGTGATATGGTTTATGTCTCTGAAAAACGTGTAGGAATGGGCACTTGAGGGCATTTCCAAGGCTGGGTATTCAATTTGGTTCGTCAATTGGTTTGTTTGTTTGGTACTGGATATCCACTTAAAGGTTTCCAAATAAGTCAATATTATACAAAGAAAACGTTATCTTTAGTTCATGTAAAACAAGTCAAGGTTTTTTTTACTCTGGATACAAGCCATGTAACTGCTAGAAAAAGAAGGCAGGCACCCATTTTCTTTTATGTGATTGTATTTGTTCGGGGTAAGTATATTAAGTTCTGCAAGTAGACAGAAGTTGTATGTGTTTTTATAGTGCAGTGAAGAAAACATCAAATGATGTTATTCTGATTCGGGACATGCGCATTTATCAAAGAAAATATTTTAGCAGACTTTCTTTTGTGAAATGTATTCTATGTGATTTGAATCCTAGAAGTTTATAAAGTGTTTTTGCCAGCAGGTTGTATGCGATTTTCCAGTGAACTGCAGAAAAAGGAGTCAAACCTTTTACTTGTTCATGGAAGCATGTTTTTACACAGCCACTTTCTTTTGTGAGGTGTTGTCTGGTGAGCTGATTAAGTTGGCAGCTACTTTCTTTGAATTTCGCCTATCCAGTTGTATGAGATTTTCTAGTAAAGAAGCTTAAAGTGCACATTTGCAACCAACCATTCTGATGTGGCCTTGATTGATGATTGTATGCCAGCATATCCTCTCTCTCTTCTTTCTCTGTCTTTTTGGGTTTTTTTTTGCTTGGATTATTTTTCTTTTACTGGTATGTAGGAAAAATTGATGCCGTTGCTAAGCTTATAAGATTGGTTGCTAACCAATTTATCTGTTTAATGAACAATAATGTTACGGTCACCAAATTTGTGAGGAAGGAGAAAATTTGATGGTAAATTTGTGAAGGAAGAGAAAACTTGAAGGCACTAGTTTTGTGTTGAGGGATCAATATCTACCCATTCACATCTTGGAATGAGTAATGAGATGGCAGTTGGTTGCTTGCTTGCCTAACCTCACTTCCCATTTTGCCACAAAGTTGAAATTTTTCAATGGTGGCACCACCACCCCAAAGATCCTTGTTCTACCACAAATCAACCTTTTTCACAAAATTCAACTCTTTCGTGTGCCTGAGAAGTGGTTCTAGCAATCACATTGTAGGTGGAAGATCAGTTTGGGGTGTTAGATATGATTGAGAACCCAACTCACAAGAAAAAGCCAACCCTACCACTATTTCCACCACCATCAAAAACCAATAGAAAAGAAATCACCAAGACAATGCCAAAGTAAGCAAAATCTAATCAAATTCAAACCATCAATTACCACAAAGATTACTTTTAAGACAAAATAAAATAAAAATAAAAAGCATAATCTTGTTGAAAGAAAAAGAAAAAAAATCAACCAAGATAAGCTGACCCACCATCATGACTTCAGTGGGTAACCAGCATAAGCTTGGAATCTTCTAGAAGCTTTTGCCCCTAATTTCTGTTGAAATCTTTCTTTTCACTTCCCACTCAATTGCTTATATGGATGGAGATAGTGACACTGATAAAGATAGTCGCTTTATCTTATTCTTCTTCAGTTTGCCCTCACATTTTCTTCTAGAACTTGAGGGGTTTTAATCCATTTTTCCTTCATTTTTTTCAAATATTTTTTTGGGGGTTCCTCAAACTCATTGAGACCTCCAAGACTTGGCCATTTCAAATCCATTCTGGCCATAATGATAATCCTGAATAGTTTGGTTAATTTCATCTTGTGAGTTCATCACAAAAGGCCCATGCTGAACCACTGGTTCATTGATGGGTTGCCCTCCCACCAGCACAAATCTCAACGGCTCTGATGACTTGTTGGAGACACTTAGACCATCTCCAGGACCTAAAACAAGCACATGATGAGCTGATGCATGCGTTGACCCAAACACACCTTCTCCTTCAATTATGTATACAAAGGAACTCCAGGTTTCTGGTATGCTTTGATGAAGTTGAGCTTTGGGTTTTAAGGTGAAATCGAAGAACAATGCCGGGGTTCGGGTGAAAACAGGGGAGCTAACTCCCATTGTTTCTCCTGCTATAACTCTGACTTCAACTCCATCTTTCTCTGCCCTCCTTATGTCCTTACTTAGGAGTTCTTGATATCTTGGCTCAATCCTGCAAAAATAAATAAATACATAAGGAACAGCTTCTTTATTCAATTTAGAACACCATGACCGATTCCACTTTCAATCAATTGAAAATTTATTTCAATTCAAACTCCTTGAAATAAATAAACATATATATATATGGAGAAGTGGAGATTCAAACTTACACAAGTGGAGAAAAATACCACTAAATTAATAGTTAGTTAAATAAATAAAAAATAAAAAAATTGACTCTTTAAAATGGTTTTATTTTGCAGATCGGTGATCTTATATTCAAACCCTTATGGCATCTTAAAAGATTGTGTGCAAGAAACCCCCTCCTCTTGTGGTTTAGACTATCGCTTGTATTCACACAAATAAATTAATCGACCTTTTACTCACAAATCTATACAAATGTAACATGCACCATTTTCAATCCCTCAGTAACATTCTAAGTGCCTTAGAGTCCAGGCAGAAGAAGAGGAAGAGATGGAAGAAGAAATAGAAAAAGGTTTTAGTAAATCAATATAAGTTAAACAAACAAACTTAAGTTTCCTTGCTTTTCATTTTATTATTATTTGAATTGTTAATAGAGTTCCACCGAAACCACATGCAATGAGCATTCCATGGTCAACTGTTTTAATTTAAAGATACAGAAACCAACCAGATGTACCAAAAAAATAAAATAAAAAGCAGGCGTGGTGAGTTGGCCACATATTGGGCAGTATAATTTTATTCACAAATGGTCAACTGGAGCCAGTGTGAATACAAAACAGTTTTGGAAATTTCGTTTGGCAAAATACTATGAATATTATGTCAGCCTACAAAAAGGATCCGGATAGATCCAGTTTACACACAAAATTACAGAAAATAGTCATATTCACCGAAAGATAACGTCAACATTTCTACAAAACCTACACCTTTTGATTGGAAAAAAAAATAAATTCTTATCCTAATATCATCAACCACTTTATCCCTCAATTCATTCACCTATCTTCTCAAAATATTCTTAATTTTAACTTCTTCTTAGAAAATCTCGACGGTACGGGAGAAACTTGTATTCAACACGAAAGAGAAAATGGGAGGACTCGTTTGCCGACAGAACGGACTTCGAATCTCTTCTAACATTGGAAAAAAAAAAATACCGCTAAATCAAGCACTGGTTAATCCTAATTTTAACTCTTAATTAGTTTTTATTGTTCAATATGTTTAAGTTCTTAAAATAGGCTATTGTGACGTTGTTGTTGGCCTCAGGGCCAGCCATGCGCTAGTCTCCCAAGAAGTGGCCAGTTGCGACTGGCCTCCAAAAGAGACTGACTGCAAACCAGTGCCTCCAAAAAAGAGTTCAGCCATGGCTGCCTTATTTTTATTTTCATTTTAAAGATTATTCCTTTAAAGTATTAGTAGAAATGGGGTATCAACAACACCAAAAAAAGAGACAAAATCATTATAATCACCATAAATTTTGGGCTGTGGATGAAAAACAAGGATGAGGAAATACGTACATTTTGTCTTTGCGGGATAGATTGATCCAGAGCTGCAAGCCTGTGTTGGGTCCTTCTCCTGCAGGCATTTCAGAATGAACTATTCCTCTGCCTGCTGTCATCCACTGCCACAAAATCACATCCAAGACAGCTTAATACATGTCCAATGATATAAAGATTACTGATAGAATCATCAATATTATGTGATAATTCTTCTTTGATTTTGAATTTGAGCCTACTCTGAAGCTCGTTTATTTCCAACAAGTAAGATATTGATACGTATACGAACACACAATTTGTTTTACGAAGAAAAAAAGAATTTTGGTGAATAAATTTAGTGATCTTAGTATTATGAAATCAATAGTTACCTGTACATCCCCAGCCCAGATTGTACCCTTATGCCCTGCAAAGTCTTGGTGAGTGATGCCTCCCTGAAACCCCAGTAATATTGTAAATTGAATTCTTTAATGAAATCAGAAATCCAGAATCCAAATATGTTTCTGAAAAAGTAAACAAAAAAAAAAAAAAAAAACCTGTAGCATGTAGGTGACAGTCTCAAAACCTCTGTGAGGATGATCAGGAAATCCAGCAGGAGGGGATACTGCAAGATCAAAATAAAAAACAACAATGTCAACACAAAATCAATCTCATCATCCAAAATGGAACTGAGACATGAAAATTAATAACAAAGTTTACAGACATTTAAGTACATAATATACCTGAAAAGTCATCTAGCATGAGAAATGGATCCAGGTTCCTCAAATCACGGCTGAAAATCAAATGCCCAAGAAACAGAATTAATCCACAAAGCAAGGAAAACCCAGAAGTCGAAAACTTAAGAACACATAAATAGAAACGAGGAAATGAAATCCCAAAACAGAGCAGAAGAAATATGAAAAAAAAGATGAAATGGGCAAAAAACCATGAACCAAACCTTCCAATGGCTCTCCTGACAGTAGCACCATCGCCCTCAGATTGGGACTTGGCGAGGACCTTCTTGACCACCATTTTTGGGGAGGTAAAAGCAGGGGATTGGTGATCCGATTCAGACATGATGTTTCTGATAATGGAAGGAACAATGGTTTTGATGTGGCGGTTGTTGGGTTTGCTAAACAGTAACTTGCTGTATCTTGTTGTAGCTATAGAAATAATAGCTCTCATAAAGCTGCTGCTTCTTTTATATGGGTTTTGGTGACAGCTTGAGAAGTTGGATGCGTGTCTTTATAACTTCCATGATACGATATATATAACGACTTTGAGCCTTCCCTTTGATGCAGCAGTGTGGAAGAGAAAACAGCGGAATAGAAAAAAAACACACACACCAAAGAAAAGGCTTTTTATTTTTTATTTTTTAAATTGTTTGATTTTTTTTTGGGGGGTTGGGTTGGTTGGGTGACTGGGTCTGATGCACAACAAAGAAAAGGAAGGAAGGAAGTTGGATGCGTAGGGAAAATATGGGAGTGGGGACCACATGGCCTCCTTGGACCAATCATGATTAGTGATGTCAAGCTCTTGTCACCATGAGGTTAGAGGATGTGAGCATTGGAGAAGAAAGAAGATGAAGACCTTGCCTTGCCTTTTTTGCAAATACATATTCGTCTTCTCTCATCTTTCTTCTTTCTTCTGTCAGGTGTGAAACTGAAATATGGGATTTGACCTACTCATATGGACGATATAGTATTCAATTATTCATCCTCCCGTCATCTGCTCACTCTCTT